ATTGGATAAATATTTTCCATAAATAATGAAGTGTTAATGGATAATTAAGAGTATTACAAAAGAATCATAGTAAAATTATGTGTTAGACAAGAAAATCATCCAAAAATGTGAGGAAGGTCAGACCTTTGCTACTGTACATTCTAGAAAAGAAATCCAAGAATGCAAGGATTAATGTTGCACTATCTTCAGCTAGTTGTAGTGTTAGTAAGAAGATTCAAGCTTGAGTGTGAACACCACTCCAAATTCTACATTTATGGTCTTAAAAATCAAGTAATACACTCAATTTTATCCAAAAAGATCTTATCTTTTATGGCCCAAGAACCCAAATTGATCTGATAAGAAAATAATTTTTCTCACTAGAGTGATTTCAGCATTAGAGCTTTGTGAAATTTGAAATTCTACCACTCTAGTTTCTGGGATTTTTCACACAATATGATCATTAGATTATAAACTTTCACTAACCAAAGAGGGGGTGAATTAGTTTTGCGACTAGGTATATAGGATTTTCTTTTCGTGGTTTGTCTTCCATGGATTTACTTAGTAAATCAATATAGACAACCAAGATGACTTTTAATGTGAAAACAATTGACAAATCCATTACAATAAATAAACCTCTAACAATAAATATGTGTACTCAATCTAACATACAAACAAACAATTAATTAATGCACTATGCTTTTTGAATGAGTTTATCAATTAAATCTTTGAGAAATGATTTTCTAAAATCTAAAATGCAACTCAAAGAATGTTGCTATTTTCATATTCCAACACTTCTTAAAATGTAAAAACTTGAATGTTGATGTCTTGGGAATGAAAAAGACAAAAGTACACAAGATTTATAGAGATTGAACCCAAGGTTTAAAATATTGATAGGATACACTGAATATCAAGCTTAACGTATCCATATCCATGGCCAAGGATATAGGATATGCCACAACTGGACACATCCCATGAGTTTTGCGTATCAACATGATATATCTCCATATCAGGCCATATTGCATTGTATCAGTGGATAAGGTTTGATCTCTGTTTTGGTGGCAAGAGGTGGACCGATATCTTCTTCTTCGATCTCTGTTTTGAAAGCTTTGGTAATCAGACATGGTGGCAAGAGGTAGTTGAAGATCTATCGAAAGGAAATGTTGACCCAACTAGTGAGGTTTGGCTTGTTCTATTTGATATTTTTTTCATTAGATAAAATATTTCATTAGATTTCCTTTAGATGGATTAGCAAGACTACTAATCATGCAGCTCATCAAGTAGCAACGTTGAATTCATGTTCACAAAGATGGAACGAGTGGAATGTTCATGGTCTTCCTTGGCTTGAGAATATAATTAGTCTAGAAAAGTGATTTATATTTGGGTAAATCTCTTAAACTATCCCTACTGTTTGCGAAATTGACCAACTTTACCCCTACTATTTACATATTGTCTTAAAGTACCCTTAAGTTTTCTGACAATTATCTAAAACCTCCATTGTCGTTAATTTTCTGTCACACTCCGTTCACATGTGACATCATGTGAGTGGTAATTATTTTAAAATTCCTAAAATACCCTTATTGTTCACCGCAGCTATTGGAAGTTGTAGCGGTGACAGTGGTTTTGGTATTGTTGTTGTAGGTGACAGTGACCACTACAACTTCCAAACAACAAAAGTTTGGTGGGAAGCTGAGCCTCCCAAGGTAGTTGATTCGATTAACAACTTTTGTGTTCTCTCCCCTCTCTTAGTGGATTTCAAAAGAAATGTAAAAAAAAAATGGTTTTATGAGTTCTATAGGGATTGGTCAAAGCGGAGACATCGCGTTCAACCGTAGGTCCCTCGATCTCTTGATGTTTGAATTCTGGGTTTTGGCTGGGTAATTGGATTTCTTAGAATCCAAATCATCTGAAGAAGTTGAGAAAAATCTAAGCTCTGGGTTACTACTATTTATTGAGCTTGAACAGATAAAAGCTCGGTCGGCTAAGATCCACAAGGTGAGTTCAGAATTTGAACAAATCTGAAGGTACCAACCCCTGGCTATTAAAGATTCGACGATAATTCAGTTTGGAATTCTTGAGAGAGATACCCCAAAACCTGCTGAACATGCAAGAACAATTCAAAAAGTTCCTCCAAAGAACTAAACCACTCAAAACAAAGAGCTTGTATTTGTTCAAATTTTGAACTCACCTTGTGGATCTTAGCCAATGATGCACGAGCTTTTATCCATTCAATCTTGATAAATGCCCAGGCAATTCCCAAGTTCCTTTCTCCAGTCAAGGTTCTCGGGTAAATGAATCAGTCTACATAGTGAGTTGAGTTTTATTTTGAAAATTTGATGAATAGTAAAGGAAAAATTTGATATTTCATTTTTTCCTGTTACTATTTACTGGCGTGTCAATTGTCAGAAAACTTAAAGGTGCTTTAAGACAATATGTAAACAGTAAGGGTAGAGTTAGTCAATTTTGCAAATAGTAGGGGTAGTTTAAGAGATTTACCCTATATGTTTTCCTCCACTGCTTTTTCTATTAAACTTAGCTGCCAGGTCTCTCGCCCAGCTCATTCTACTACCTTTTTTAGCATTTCTCTTAAATTCACCATAATTTTTCAAAACGTCCAAGGAACCCCATCTTATTAAGTTGACGTTAAGAAACCAGCGGGTGTTATTAGATTACCAATTTACCACTTTTTTGTTAACGTTTAAACTTTACAATTTTCCAAAAATTCCCTTATTATATTCGACCGAAGCCTGAAAGCCCTACTTGTTTCAAACCCTATCTAAAAGAGAAGAATACAATTATTGTTGTTGCATCTCTGAACATCCCCTGAGAAAAAGAAGATAACCACCGCTGGAGAAGAAATGCTCCACCATTTACCCTTTTTTTCCCATCGAAGATTTATGGGTTTTGCTCCAATACTATTATCATAACGGAGAATTTCCTTTGACCTCCCCCATTTGTCGCTCTTACATTGCTGTTAGAACAACTTTTCTTCTTATCGGAGAGTTCAAATCAGCTCCCCATAAGACTGCCCCCCACAACATCGCACAATACATCCCACCATGTATTGGGAATATCTCTCGATGATAATACTAGGAATAATGATGGATATCATCATCAGGAAATATTCCCAATACTAGGAATAATGATGTTGAAGGGGCCGATTTGGTCTCCGGAGAAGAGAATATATAAAGGGATGAGTCATCTGAGATCATGGGGAGGGAAGACCCCACACTCATCAACCCAAGGACTAGTCACCTTTGAAGCCAAGTTGCTAAAGCTGAAAAGAGTTGAAAGGATTTTCTTTTATTTTGTCTTCTTATAGAATTCTTTTTGGATACTATTTTGTGTTATTGATTTTGGTTCTCCAATTTGACGACAGAGAAATAAGGCCTTTAATCTATAAAACAGATTCCATGTCTCTCAAGTTCTTTTTCAAGGGGAATATGAGAAATAATGAACAAAGCTAAACAGATAAAGGTGACTGAAAAGATTGAAATCCTAATAAAGGCACAATGATGTAAATTTTTGCATTTATACACCTTCCAAACTCAGCCTAAATTTTTGTAGCAGAAACCATGTGACGTCCATTCGTGAGAGAGGAAATAAAAAGATGAAATCATCAGAGGGCGATTTTAGGCTTTAGTTCCCAGTGATGGTGATGAGTATTATGATCCAGAAATCTCCGATGATGGATTAATGGCACCAATTTTTCAACTACAAGCATGTTTTTTGCAAAACAAATTAAATCAGGCTGCGGATTGATTGGCTCACCATATTCATGAAACCCAGTTGTCGAGTAATAGTTGTGTCCCTCTACCTTTGTAAGCTGTCTTGACCTTTTGCGTTTATTTGTTATAGTGATTTGTGGAAACATACTACTTACTCAGTCTTGTATAGCCCCTTATGCTTATTATTAAAAAAAAAATTTGTCAATTAATTAAACTCCATTAATTTTTTTCTTTTATTTGTAAAAAACCTGAGTCGGGAGCAGTTTTTCAAACGGCTTTCTTTAAACATTTTCAGCTTCCTGGACAATGAGAGCAAGCAAAACATTGTCAGCTTTCTTCAAACGCAGCTCTTAAGCAACAGAACGACAGCAAAATGTCTCTCATTGAGTATAAATGTAACATGGAAGGCACTTGGGTGATTAGGGGCATTTTAGTGATAAAAATATGTTTGATAAGGCTAATTGGCCATTCAAGGGCAATTTGTTAATGATCAATAACGGTGAAAGGTAAGTTTTGGAAAACAAAAGATCACTGATATGAACTTTTTTAGAACTTTTGAAAAGTTAATGAATTTAAGAGAAATACTGAAAAAGTGAGAGATGAATTTTAGACGATTTCCAAAAAGAAGAAAACTTATTTTACCAGCGGAAGTAGAGGTATAAATGGGGCTATGCCACTGAAAAGTTAATGAATCTAAGAAAAATACTTAAAAGTTATAGGTGAATTTTAGACAATTTCCAAAAAAAAGGAAATTCATTTTACTAGCGGAAGTAAAGGTGTAAATTGGGCTATGTTGCTCGTGGTTCGGCACAAACTTGGACCAGCTCGACAGGATGGTCCATGGGCCATGCCAGGCCTGGCATGACTGCACGATCATGTAGGCAGTGCTGGGCCTGGGGTTTTAGATCCACGGGCTGGCACGACATGATATGATCGAGTGTGTTGGCCTACGGCACGGCCCAGCCCAATCCACAGCTCGGCCCGACATGACCCATATATATATTTTATACATGTTTTATATATTATATTTATATAATATTATATAAATTATAATTATATAATAATATATAGTATATAATATATTAATAAAATAAAAAATTTTTAATTTTATTATACTAATTTATTTAATTATTTTATATATAAACAATTGTATGCACAAAATTCATATAAAATTAAAATTTTAAAATTTTTATCAATTTTTTTAAATAAATAACTTTGCCCCGATGCACGGCCCGACCTGGCTTAAGGCTCGGCCCACGGGCCAGACCGGCCCGCAGCACGGCACGGGCCTGGGCCATGGGCCGTGCCGGGCCGACCCCCAAATTTTTCACCGGCGCGGCACACTTTACACCTCTTTACACCTCTGGAAGAAATGTGAAATGTGAAAGCAGGGCATTCTTAGTTCTTACACCGGAAACAAGGGTGTTCTTCAAACCCTGCTGTCAGATAGGTGAGGAACAGGCGAAGGGAGAAGAAGATAGATTGAGTGCAGAACATTACGCCTTTTGTTCTCCGCTGCGACTCCGGGCAACAGAGAAACAGAAAGAGAGAATGGCGCAGTCTCTTCCGGGCATAAACCCTCCAAAAACCTTTAACTGCGGCAAGACCCCACTCTTTCCATCCATTCGATCACTCCGTCCGCATCAATATAAGATTTTTACGACACCCAGAACCAAAGAACTCCCAATAGTGTCTCTCTCAGTCATGTCGAACCAACCACAACCGTCTCTGGATGTCCTCACCAGAAGCGATCGTAGAGACGATGCCCTTGGCTCCATCCGGAGCTCGTTGTCTAACTGTCTCACTGAGACCAATCTTCTTCAAACCGTTCCTGGTCTCAAATCCAAGACCATAGGAAAGGTTGAGTATTTAACACTGCTCTATTTGGCACCCTAGTCTTTACTCGGAGCAATTCTTCTTTGTTTGGATATGGGTTTTGATCTATCTGGTTGGTTTTGCAGGTTAGAGATATTTATGATGGTGGGGATTATCTTGTTCTTGTCACAACTGATCGACAGAGTGCCTTTGATAGAATTCTTGCTTCAATTCCCTTCAAAGGCCAGGTCTTTTTTTTTTCTCCTTCTAAGCTTTTTTGGTAAAACTACCGTCTTTTAGGTATCTAGTCTTTTTGAATTTTCCTAATTAATTTATTCATATAGAAAAATGAAGCCTGGTTAGATAATGTAATGGAGAAAACCTCAGTGGTGATGGTGATATGTAATTTTAGTGGTATAAACAAGGATTTGTGAATGATGTCTTCAGTTTGGTATTACAACTTTCAGGTTCTTAATGAGACGAGCTTATGGTGGTTTGAAAAGACTCGACACATAACTCCAAATGCGGTGGTATCAGCTCCTGATAAAAATGTTACAATTGCGAAGAAATGCTCAGTTTTCCCGGTTGAGTTTGTTGGTGAGTTACTGTGGCAGATTGGTTTTTTAACTTTTTTTTGCCATGCATATGGTCTTTTATCAACTTGCCTTGTCTTGATTCTAATTTTGTTCCTGTTATAAAAATTACTTGTTTGCACAAAAAATGAAAGAAAAGGAAGAGAGTGGATAAATTGTATCTCCATCTTATCTATCCGAAGGTGAGTTATTAGAAGCCACTGTATTTTGTGCATTCAAGATGCTTTCTCAATCTAGGTTGGTGCTTCTTTTGTTTTCTTTTGCAAATTTATACCATGATGGATCCATTGATCCTTCCGAATTATTAGCGGTTGTGGTATCTACTTCTGATGTTCTTTTGATTCTTTTTTGTTACTGAAAGCTAAGCTTGGGTTAAGTGTCCAAGTTGGCGTTGCCACCCTTAATTGGATACCAGTCTGTTAACTCTCTTTCTGGAGTTTGGGGGGTTAGTATACATGAAATTGTTATAGATATGATATTTGAACTTGGGTTTTTTGAGAATCTAGGGATATAACCTTGGAAGACTAGATATTGATTTGGGTTTACACAGGGTTTCTAAAAATTGTCTGATTGTTTGCTTCCCCAACTGGGCATGTCTAGATATTGACCATAGGACGTGACATGCTACACTTTAACCTAAGTGTGGTGAGAAATGAGCAAAGGTATGCTAAGGTATTCCCTGAAAGTGAAGCACCACAACAATGCCTGGTTGTGATGAGAAATTAGATATACTACTGAACTAGAATGGTGGGGATTCATGAAGCCAACCCCATATATAGTCGGGACAAGGCTTAGATGATGATGGTGAGCTTTAAGTTCATTGATTTTTTTTTTCACTAGCTATGAAAATATTACCTTTATCTTTAAAAAGAAGTTACCTTTCAACAACATTTTTGAATCTAGATTTGAATTGAGCTGGGTCATGATGATCTATTGGTAAGGTAACAAAATATATGCCAATGTATTGGTAATTGCTGAAAATGAAGAGCCAAACCAATTAGAGTCATATATGGCAACAAACTGGCATGCGACTAATCCAGTTAAGCACAGAAATTGGTCAACCATATGAATTAAGGCAGTGTTTACAACTCAGAGCTCAACTGGTGGCTTTTCACCCGGTCTTATTTCTGTGTCCATTTCACCTCCAAACCATTTATTTGCAGAAAACCATCGATAAACAACCTGGTGTTCTAGCGGTTGCACCACTGTTATGTTTGATCTGGTTAGTGGGTCATGGGTCAGACATTTATTCTCTGGATTATGTTTTATTTTTATTTCAATCAATAACGAATAATTCTTGTATATCATACTTATTTTTATTTAATATAATGATTATTATTAGAGACATGCCCTATGTTTTATGCATTCTTCTGTAATTTTTTGTATACTTTGTTTATTTTTATATTTATATTATTTAATTTATAACATCATGAGTTGACCCTTTGACCTGGATGGTTGAACTGATGACCCACCACCTGGATGGAAATGCAATTCTGCTTCTTGGTTGGTTTTATAAACATTGAGTTAGAGTACTAAGAATAAGCAATAAAATATTTTAAGATATTGTAAATATGCTTGTAAGAAATGAGAAAAAGTTTCAGTTAAATTGGAATTTGAATTGTGTTTGTCTTGTTCAATTGCCTTTTTGGATAGGTAATTGTTCAATGTTTATTTTCTTTTTTTGGATAGGTAATTCTTCAATTGCTTTTATTCTATGTTAGCATTTTTGTATCATTGCTCTTGTTATGTTAGAGAAATGATCATGTATTTTTTTTAATGATAAGTTAACAGATCATATCTTTCATCCGTTTTAACCTATTTGAGCATGAGTTGTCTAGCACTTGTTCACTTTAAATTCATCATGATTGATACATGCTAAACTTTGTTCATTGTAGTTAGAGGTTTTGTGACTGGAAGTACTGATACATCACTGTGGACGGTCTACAAGAAAGGTGTCAGAAATTATTGTGGCAATATACTCCCTGATGGTGCGTTTCTTCAGTTTAAATAGTATGGCATTTTTTGTTGTAGCTGTTTCTTACTCATCTAATTGTTAAATGTATTACAGGGTTGGTAAAAAACCAGAAACTACTGGCAAATATCCTCACACCAACAACTAAGGCTGAAGATCACGATGTTCCTGTGACTCCAACTGAGGTTTGCTTTATTGTTTGTAAGAGATAATCTGGCATTACTTTGAAATTGTTCTTTCCATTTCTGTAGGTGAAAAAGTTTTCAATATGAAACACCATTCTACAGTTTCTTTTTGTTTAATAACAACAATAGTCCTTGAATGTTGACCCATTTCTTAAAACGGAGACAGGATACATGTTTTGCAATTTCAGGAAAATATTTGAATGGAAGGTAGTGCCTCTTGAAGGGTTGCCTGTATTATATGTACACATTCTGTTTAATTAATCAAATTTTAAAGTTACTTATTGAAAAAAAAGTAAAAACATTAGTAACAATGGTACAAGTAAGACTGCTGATTAGTAGATGCCTCAAGCTAATCACTTCTGGTGCCTTGGATAGATCAATTGAAGTGGATGTTGCCCAGAACAAGGTGGTTGAAGTGGAGAGGTGCATGATTTATATCAATGGGAGTAAAAGTAACTACTAAATGTGAATGATTTACCTTTTGCAAGAAGTTGCAATATTTCAAAGAGAATTAAAAATTGGGGTGAAGATTTTTGAAATGATAAAGGAAAGCAAAAAGGCAATTTTCAGCCAAATTGAGAATTGGATCAAAGAAGTTTCAAAGACAAATGGTTGAAGAAGAGAGGGAGTTAAGACGAAAGTAATCTTGAAGGGAGGAAATCAGTTGGAGAGAAGTCCTATATGTACTTGGGTCAAAGAAGTGGATGAGAATTCAAAGCTCTTTTACTCAATAATGAATAGAAGTAAATGGGCAGCCTTTGTGTCTAGATTGGTAGTTAATGAGGAGGTGACTAGAAGCCTCTAAACCATTTTGAATCACTTCATTGCTACTTTCCACAATCTAAAGTGGTGGAGGGACTGAATTGGCCAAGTCTGAAGGGGGAATCGGTGGTAGTATTGGGAAGGCTCTTTGATCTTGGGGAATTAAAGGATAATATTCTCTGTGGAAAGATTGAAAACACTCGGACTAGATGGCTACTCTATGGATTTCTATTAGTATTGTTTAGAGATGTTGAAATGAAATTTACTAGAAGTGTTTAGGATTGTTGGGAGGTGGAAATACTACATTTATAGCCTTGATCACTAAGAAACTTGAGGCAAACCATCCTGAAGACTTAAAACCAATCAACTTAGTAGGAAGGCTCTATAAGGTCATGGCAAAGGTCTTAACTCAAGGGTTGAAAGTTCTCCCTCCTATTGTGATATAGCATTAAGGCTTAAGGAAAAGAGTCATGAAAGGATGGGTATGTAACTTACACTTGGAAATGGCTTGTGATATGGTAGAAGGGAGTTTTTTTGGCCAAAAGGGGATTCAGGCAAGGAGATCTATTATCTCCATTTCTATTTACACTCATTGTGGATTAGGGGTGCAACTTGGGCAGGTTAGGCTTGGTATTTTGTCAAGATTTGAATGGGCTTGACCAGAAGCTTGATCCCAAAATAGTGTAAAATGTAAACTCGGGCCAACTGTCAACTCGAGTTACACCCCTATTGTGGATGTGTTCATTTGGTTGGTTTTGAGAGTAGACAATCTAGGTTTGATCAAAAGGATGGGGGGTTGGCAGGAATGAAATAGTAGCCGACCCCACATAGTTGGGATAAGGCATGGATGATGATGATGTACAATTTGTGAATGGCATATTTCTTTTTTGTGAGGGTGGGGCAAGGAACTTATAGCTTCTAATAAAATGCTTTGAAAGGATTTCACATTTGAAAATAAGTTTGAATAAGAGCTATATCATTGTCATTAACACAAGGTGTTAGAGTCGGTTGTACAAGGGTAGTACAGTCCTTTTATGTTTAGTTATATATGTACTGCTCAGCTGATGTGGCTCTCACTTAAGTGAGGGCACAATGGTAATCCTTGTATATCTTAGAAGAGTATAAATAAAAGAAGGGCCACAATGGTTTTTGATTTTTTCTCTCTAGTTCGGCAGTGATTTTTCTCCTTTTTCTTCTCTTTCCTCTTCTCCTTCTCTCTCTCTCTTTTCCTTCTTTTTCTTCTGGTCTGAACATATACAAACATCTAATCTGAGTGTTATCATGGTATCAGAGCCACGATAATCAGTTCAGATCAGTTGTCTCCTTTTCTCTCTGTTCTGTGCATTCCTCTCTAGGGTTTTGCAGAATTCTCATTGATATTTAGAGAGTTTTCCAGAAAGAAAGAAAAGGACTGGTCGTTTTCTCCTTTTGGGGGTTTCCATGCGTCCAATGAGTGCAGTCGTTGTGGTTTCGTGTGGTTGGTAGAAAACCCTCTACTCGACGGGCACAT